CTGAGACTTCTAGGAAGCAAATCATCTGTCCTACTTTAGTTATATGCCAGGATGAATCAGACTTTGGAACAGCTCCCTTCTCTTCATCTATCTCATAACAAATCTATACAAGTACTACATAGTTTTTAACTTCACGGAGTGGGAATTCAGTGATACCAGTACCTGTTGATGTTACCATGCCCTGAGAACTGCTCCACTTTTGCCTCTAGCTATATTTTGCATCACGCTGCAGAACTGCAGTGCTTTCTTCTATAATCTCGTTTTATTGCAGCATTGGCTCCATTCCATTTTCCCCTTGGAATCCACAGTCTGGCATCCAAAAAACTTTTTTTTTTTTTTTAATTTAATTCAGTGGAATGCCATGTCACTCTCTTCTCATTTCTTCATCATATCTGGTCTTTCTTATGCCTATTTTAAAAAGAATAAGTTCTGCACGAGAATGAGAGCCGTTTCTCATCTACCATGGCATGAAATAACTTACTAGCACTTACAATTAAAAGAAAGTACAGTTCATTTCCATTCAAAGTTTGAGACAAGTGTAAGAGTGGGTCTGACAACACAACATATCAGTCACAAGATTTTTAAACCAAGTTGACAGACTCTTACAAGTTTCTAAATGCAAAGGACAGACATCTCCTGAGCCTGAAAAAGACCTTATTCATCTTGATTTTGTTTTTCCAGAACTGCTCTCTTCCTTAGCTGATTTTGCTGTTGATTTCTGCCCTTGCATCATGACGGAACAGTTGAGCAGTCACTTAAATCATTCTTTTCTTCCTTCTCTTTTAAAGCCAGGCTCCTAGCATTTCTAAATGTACCATTCTTACATGAAACAAAACAAGAAAGTGCCCGCCTTCCTGTTTGTTACCTCATCCCTGCAGGCATTCAAGGCCAGGCTGGATGTGGCTCTGGGCAGCCTGGGCTGCTGGTTGGCAACCCTGCACACAGCAGGGGGTTGGAACTGGATGAGCATTGTGCTCCTTTGCAACCCAGGCCATTCTGTGATTCTATCATATGGTGGGCCTGAATTGAACACACCAACATATAGTGAGTTGCACAAAGCACAGCTTGGGGTTTCTCAACATGTCTCAGATGGGAAACGACGTACATTTTGGATCACATCACCACTATACAAGGAAGGCATCTTACCTCTGGTGGTCTGATCTGAGGGTACATTCTGAAATAATTTCCTAGAGGGAAACTGACAGCTTGTCCCACTCTCCCCCTTCTCCATACACACAACCTGCAGTATTATTCCTATAGAAGTGCTGATTAACAAGACCAAACAAAGTAATTTCTTTTAAAGCAAAAGGTCTTTGCAGCGCAAAGACTTCAAGCGGATTTTGCCCATTTTTGCAGGAACTACCATCTTCTGCACTTGGGATTTGCATCTTTTTGTCCCCCAAAAGCCACTTCAGCCTACTTTTCCATTTTCAGAAGACAGGCATTTGTTGTTGCTAACAAAAACACCACCTTAGCACCTAACCCGCCAACAAATTAAGTGCTATCAGCTCAAACATGCTCCGCCGTCTTCTCCGAGTTACACACCAGTCATGGTAGGTTTTAATTTGATTAGTGATTGGACTAAAAGCAGCTAAATAAAAATTATAATGCCCAAGAGCCACTTAGACTTGTTCAGACACTTTAAATACCAAATCCCTTCAGCAATATAACATTATCTTTACAGACAAAACTGAGTTTAAAAGTACAAATCTAATTGATCTCAAGTGCATTGGAATTACTATATTTAGCCATTGGATTATGTACTGCAGAAAGCCTCATGCTATGTAAGCAACAAAACTAATTGTGGAGAGACAAAGGTATGTGTCTAACATGCTTATGGACTTGTAAAAATGCACATTTTCATTGAAGCTGGCAAAGTTACAGCTGCTAACACCAGCAGAGAATTTGGCACGGCGCCCTGTATTTTGAGTGAAGGTAAACCGACTGTTTCTGGTCTCCTTCAGAAGACCTGGAGTTCAAGACCTGCCTCAAAATTGCTACTTAAAGCTTTCACCATTGCAGAGCAAGAAAAAAAGTACTTTTTAAAAGACTTTCTTCCCATTAGGCTCGAAGTTTATGTAGGCATTTATGACAGATGATCCATCCTCACAACTGCTTCTCTGAGATTAACATATATATCAGCATATACATAACAAAATTTTAAGACGACACAAAAAAAATAGAGAGATTAACTAGTCTGGTTGAACATCAACTCACATCTGGCTGGAAAGGGAGGTCATTTAATGCCTTTGGATGGATGGGTGGATTCTGGCTTTCAACTCCACTGTTGCGTGTGTCTCTGGACATCCCCTTTGAGGGAAAAGCAATTAAGGCCGTTTTTTCCCCAAAACATGACACATGCCCCAGGCCTGCATCTCACCAGAACACACCTCAGATCAAAGGAGCTGTTAAGAAACACTTGCAGATGTGACATGATTCAAGATATCCTTCTAAAACTCAGTGTCTCAACCCATGCCACACTTCCTGCTTAACAGTACCAACAAGGACCAGGTATCTCATCTGCTGTTCTGTCATAACAGGATGCACATTCACTGGCTAAACAGTCTATCTCTACTATCAGAGACTTCCAGAAAGATGTATTAAGAGGGAAAAGCAACAGCTTACAAGCCAAAAGCGGGTCCTATAAAAAATAATAATTCAGGAAAATCCCCAGAGGGAACATACCCATCAAGCTCCTAAAATGAGGTTGTATCCCAGTATTGATACAAAGGATTGAGCTTTGGAGGCCTCATTTCAAGACACTTCCTGCCAGGCTGGGGAGAGCAGAAGTGAAAGTGATTTAGATCAAAAATTCCACACTGAAGCAAACCTTTCTGGCCTGAAGGGTGTTGGGTTGTTTAACGTGGCCTTTTTTTTTTTTTTTTTTTTTTTTTTTTCACATGAGAAATTAAAAACACACAAACAGGGAAACAAAGTTAAGTTGAATCAAGCCCAGCTTTGCACATTTCAGCAATTCAGCCTGCCGTCTGTAGAACACAGCAATATAAATATTGCTATCTCTGTTAAAATGAATTTTAATACATGTTGCACAGTACATATTAATATAGAAAAATACATGTTATCAGCAGTGTAATGTTGACCGTGCACTAATCCATTCCACCTGCTCAAATATTAGTGCAAATAATTATATATTTGTAATGCATCATTGCCGTTTAGTTTGAATCTCTGCCTCCAGAATAAATGTTTCTTCTCTGAAGTTGTTTGCTATTATGAGTAAAATGATATATATTCATACTCAAATTGACTTTGGGTGGATAAGTGAAATGAGCAACCTTCAAAAAACCCACTTGTCTAAGACTTAGCAAGTTATTTTAATGAATTGTTTACAGCAAATGGAACGTTACAAAAATGCTTCCAATAAGTTCACGTTAGCTGGCTTTACTACAACACCCAAATGCCACATGTCAGAACAGCAGAGTTCCAAATGACTGTCTTCACCTCAGCTGATGCTGCCAGCAGAACTGTAACCGTGTCTTTCAACACAAGTTATTTACCTTGCTTTTGTTCTGCTGCTGCACGCTTTATCTATCTGTGAATCAATCTGGGACATCTCGGCCTCTCTTTTCAAACAGAGGTGGCCTTGAGGAGGCTGGAGACCCTTGGTAGAATGCCAGCTGCCATCCCCACCATGCTGATGGCCAAACTAGAAAAGCAGGCATTCAAGATGGGAAAGAACAGACTGCAAGTGCTTGTTTGTGACATGATACAAATATGTATCATGTGCCTTGGCTAGAAATGAAGTTGGGATAGGGCCAAGACTGACAAAGGCAACCCTGATAACAAATGAGGTGAATAAATTCCAAGGGAAAAAGGTGGTACAAACTGTCAACAAAGAAGAGGGGAGAAGAAACAGCCCCAACTTATAGAGCCCATTGTGCACCCAAAACGAAGGAACCAAAGGGAGAAGCATCTCTTAATCCACTCTCCGTTCTATTCCTGCTAAATCCAGGTTGGAGAAATACAAAACACAGGTATCAGCACAACAGGTTTCAGCCACAGCCACTGCCACCATTATCCCTATTGGCCTGAAAGCACCAGAATCCCCAAGTACCGTTTGTTTATTTCATGCTCTGGCAGCCTTATGAGACCATTTGGGTTTTCAGTAAAATGCCAACTTTCAAAGAACATCACGTACTACAAAATCAACTGAAGAATCCAGTACTTACAGCTAAGCATCTCATGAGAATTACACAAGCCATTCTCTAAAATGACATTATAGAGGGGAACAATTCTGACCCTGCAAGGACAACAATCCATAGCTCAAAGCTCCTGGGTCAGCCTATGAAGGACAAACAAAAACCTCTTCTGTAGCACAACAGGAATATGGAATATGGGGAAGGTAGCAAGATAAAAAGGAAAGGAACCAAACTCCTCGACCTACCAGGCAACATATAGCTGAAGAACCATTAGGCAGTATCTAGAGGACACTTAGAAGCCATCCTGTAAAGTTAGTGGCTTGCTCTCTGTTAGTGTTGTAACAGTGGGGAAGGGACAGCGCAGTCCTAAGAGGTCTGGAAAGGAAAATAGGACACAGAAGTAAAGCTAATAGAATACAAGTAAAACCAGGGCTTCCACACAGACTAAAGGCTGTATTGACACAGGATAAGCAGTGCCCCATACAAGTGAAAAGAAGACAGGCAAACACAGCTGCTTCTTGACTCACAGATAAGCAGAAGACACAGAAATCTCCTGCCACTGAAGAAATAAGGAAAGAGGGGAAAAAAAGAACAGACGAGCACTAAGCAGTGAACATGGCTGGACAGGAGGCAATGTCTTTCCCTCCCCTCCCTTGAATGGGTGTAAGAACAACTGTGGAAAACAAACAATGTGCCAGCCTGTCCACCTGATGTCCACAGAGGAAATACTGCAGTGTAGGTAGCAAGACACAAATCTATCCGTTTACAAAAGGCAGAAGTGTGAGAGACATTGCCTTGATGCCAGCACGGAGCAGAACAAGAGGATGGGAAAGGTGCTCTTACCTTACAGGTGTCCTCAAGAACAGTAGCTCTAGGCATGAAGCATGGCATTGTCCTCCCTGCTGGGACGGAATGGTCCTCTTGAGATGGAAGCTTAACAAAGAGCTGCTACCCTCATCTAAAACGAGACAAGTAATCACTGTTATGTTCCATAGAAACACAGTTACCACCTTGGCCTGGGCAGGTTTCCCTGCCTGTGACTGGTAGAGCTCAAACACTAATCCAAATTGGCATAGTTACACAATAAAAACTTCATCCAGAGTACCACTCCTTGTTGGGATTTGTTATGACATCTAAAATTGAGTAAATTTGGAACTGAGGGTTTCTGAAGAACAGGCCTACATATTCCAGGACCCATACTGGCACACAGCAGGTCTCTCTCCACCTTTTCAAAGCACTTTAGAAGAGGCAGAATTTTTATCATATCATGTATTTACCTTATTTCCTACAAACCCAACTCAGGTTCTCTCACTGATTGTCCCTGAGACACACTGACCTTCTCCCATTTGGTACCATGCAGTTCTCCAGTCCAGCAGTTACTCACCATTATCCGCATCACCGCAGTCTTGAAAGAACAAAACCAGGCTCGGCTCCAGCAATCCTCTCTTCCTTCCTCCTAACTGTGCAGTGCTGAGACATTTCTGCTCCTCACAGCAGAAGCAGGCACAGCTCACTTTGCAGCATTACCACCTGTCCTTCAGAGTAGATTTACAGTAGAGCATGGAAAACCTCTTCCCACTGAACCCAGCAGTTTCAAGATGAGCGAGCAGCTCCAAGGCCAAGTATTTCAGCCAGCCCCTCTCTAGAGGCTCACTTCATTTCAGGATGGGGATGCAGCTGTAAAAAGATTCTATTTCCAATCCTGCTTATTCTTCCTGGATCGACGTGCATGCCAGGTTTCTATTAATCACATTTTAACCTCTCCTGTGATGTGCTACAAAACTGCTTGTTCCCCATATCTTTTTAATTCATGTCTGTCTCTTAGCCTCACCTAAAAACCAGGACCTTCTATTTTTCCAAGCACTTCCATTTCCCAATTTTATTTTTATTCACATTGAAAAGCCTTCTTACAGAGCACCAATCCCTGTGCTTTGCACATATGTGAGACAATAACAAACCACGTTACTAAATTATAGGACTTCTAAAAAAACACAGCTTATTTTCCAGCCCACAACAGTTCACTGCAAAGCCATTTTCACCAATTGTAGACAACATAATTACACACACACGCACGCTCTCCTCTCAGGCATCCATTTGGCTGCCAGCCTGTTAAATGCCAATGTTCTGGGAGCAAGCATTAGAAAGGCAACACTTTACTTCATTACACGAACATTATAATGCATATTTGTATTTTGGATAGTACTCGATGGTATTCAGAAACCACTGGAAATATTTTCCCAAATTATATGCTATAATAGCTCTAAACTTAAAAAATGTGTGAAAATTGCAGTCTCCCACTCTATCCCAATCCGAGCTGTATTGCAAAGCAAACTTACTGACAACATACAGAAACTCCTTCAGTACGTGCATGGGGAGGTTTGTCAAGAAGAGGGGAAGAGAAAAGCCCACATCAGTGATTAATTTGATCAGCAAAATTATTTTTTACCCCCCTATTTTCCCTATTGAATAGGTTTTGTTTTTATAATTGAGCACAAAGACAGTAGGAGAATGCGGAAATGAAATGGAAGAAAGTTATCTGGAGGAAATTCTTTTTATTGAGGAAGAGTTTACATATGTATGTTCTAGTATTCACCTACTTTTTGCTGCCTCCTGTTAACAGGCATAATGAAATATTGCACTGAGCACATTCATGGGAAACACAGCTAATAAAGCAAGAAATATGGTAAATACACATTTCATACAACCTTAAAATAAGTCCAAACAACCATACAACAAATTCTGAAGCACTTCTGTGATCTGTGATCTCAAAGTGATGTTCGCTGTTCTGAAGTTTTTTTTTATTACAAATTGACACTTTTTTTTTTTTTGTAGAAAGATTTTGTATTGGTTAATAAAACCACAGCCTTAAAATTGTTGGCTTTCAGTTACAGAGGTAACAGAGAGGTATCATCTGAATTCACATCAGAGCTTTAGGAAAAAAAAAAACAAATGGCAGCAGTACAAGCATGGGCCTCCTCCAGCATCCCAAACTCTTTGTGGCTTTGCCATGGCCAAGGAATAGAGCTCTGCAGCTCAACAAAGCAGCCAGGCTCCCAGAACACTTTGAGAAAGCCTGGCATCCACGCTCTTGTTTACTGATAGAGTGCTCTGCTAAATGGAAAATGAAGCAGAACCTCAACTAACCAAGAAAAGTTCCGCACGAGTCTGTCAATATTGACTACACCTGGGAAGTCATTAATGAAAATAATTTGATTTGACCAACCCTTAAAGCAAATCTATAGGATTGCTGCTCTGAAGATGGGAGAGAAAGGTTTTCATAATGCACGCTGAGCCCGCAGTAGAAATAAAAGTGTTACAGATGATCTGTTTGGAGACGATGTGAGTCAGATTGATGACAGTCCACAGCAGTCCCAACCTGTTTTCCATGAGTCTGTTCTGAACAAAGGTCTATTTACAACAATTTTCAACTGCTTGAGGAAAAGCTACCCTAGATGTTTCAAACCACCAGTGCTTCAATTCTCTCTTGGCACACAATGTGGTCCATCTCAGAAGCACCTTGAATAAATGCTGTAGTAGAACTGATGCAGAAGTAGTCTGTCTCCAATATTAAAATTACGAGCAGTGGAAGAGAAACTTTTGCACACTTGAACATTTCATATTGCTCAGGCACCAAGGATCAGTTATCATCAGCACAGTACATTTCACCTTTCGGATTTTGCTAGAGCTGCAGTCCATTCCTCCTGTAGATAAATGAACACTTGGGCTACATTTTTATCCTTTCACTTGTTAGAATCTCAATTTATTTATATATAAAATGAGAGACAGGAAAAAGTTGTATTAATCCAACCACAGGCACCTTCATCTTGCAGGAACAAAGCCCAGACAAGGCAGCTGCACTTCAGGAGCATCTATCAAATTCAGTGTTCCAATATCAAGCAGAGAGAAACAAGAGTGTCAGGTCATACGATACCAGTATTTTTCAGTGGGCCCTTGACTGTTAGGTGAAAAAAAAAAACCAACCCAAAACCAAAGAACCAAAAAAATAAAATCTTTCCACCACGTTAGTTATGTTTAGAATGCTACACAATGAATAAATTACATCTTTGTGGGATACTGTTCCTTTCACTTCTATATCTCAAAGAAATTCCCAACTAATTAATTAGAGCAAGAAATTACATTGGGCAGGATAACGTTTTAAATGAAAGAAATGACTTAGAAACACCAATCAAAGATAATTTGATTATGATTAGCTGTGCTGAAGTCTAAGTCATTAAAATTGATGAAGAATGTTGTTACACTGGTCTATTCTATGTAATCCATTACCTACGCTATGCTCTGTAGTTCAACTCTAACAAATGGTATCTGATGATTCAATACTGAAGACTAAGATACTTCCCATGGACCACTTGCTTCCCCACACCAACACACCCAATTAAAAAAAAATAAATCAGTAGCAAGTAGTTGTGCTAAAATTCATCACTGGGAGAACTTTAGCTTACGTATCATTCAGATTTTCACTTGCTAGCATTCTACATTGTCACGTCTAAATATGGCTGTTTTATTCTGAACAGTCATTATTCCACAAAAGTTACAGCTGTGGTTTGGTAAGAAAACATTCCCTGTGCTTTCTGAGGCCTGCCCATAGGTACATTTCCTCCTGTGCTCTCAGCTGAAGTGACGAGCAAGACGTGCAGACCTATAATCAACACGCAGCTGAACAAAGGAGTGAAGGATGTTCTTGTCCAGATTAGCAAGTTGTTCACCTGAGCAAACTTGCTTTAAGTTATCCGGGGCTACAACCAGAAGATTGCAAAGTGCATGCAAAGTATCAAAGAGCTGCAACACCAGAGCAATCTGTGGTTAAGAAAGAAAAAGAAAGAGAGAGGTGTTAAGAGTGAAAAAACTGTGTACAGCACCCATCAAGATTCTCAAAATACTTCTTCCCTATTGAAAATACATTTCAGTCATTCTGTATATAGACATATATAGGAACATGGAATGAGAGCAAAAAACAAGCCAATTACAAAGTAACTAAGATAGCTTGCTATTTCTCACTGTATGCTTATCTCATGTTCAACACAAATCTACATTGCAATTTAAAAGCGTACTGAACTGCTTGCAAAAACACAAAATGAAGGCTAGAACAGATTTATTTCCTCAAAGCCCTAAGACATCATTGAGAAAACTAAGGGAGGGATGCTTTCTTTTGTTTTTGTTAAATTTTAAGACTATTCCACGAAAGACTCATTGATACCAACAAACGTAAAATTAAAAAAAAAATCTCTACCAAATTTCAGTAAACTTAAGTCTCTAACTAGATATGATCAGAGGAGACTTAGAAAAACAAGTCCCCTTGTCTTGACTTTCTCAAAATTTTGGCAATAGTCATTGGGAAAAAACAAAGCTCTTGAAGCAAGAGAACCACAGGTCTTGGCCAGAAACCAAATCTTAGCTTTTACTTCAATACAAAATTCTATCTGGAATACACTGTATCATAAACACTAAACACTTTCTCTCTCTCTCTCTCTCTCTCTCTCTCTCTATAGCCTGCAAGCAACAAAATGGTATCAGCAGACTGCTCTTCAGGATGTGATAAAGCACTACTAGTACAATTAACAGGACATACAACATCAGCACATGAAATGCTGATATTCAAACAAAAAGATCACTTTCAAAAACTTCTCAGAAGAAATGGCAAAATAAAATAATATCTAACCCATCAACATGGCTGTACATCACCAACGCACACATAACTTACCTTGAAGTCTTTGGCACACTTTCTATATTCAGCCACATCACAAATAGCCAACATGCCACCCATGCAGCTGTAGGAGTATTGCTGCAGGTGTTCATAGATGAGTCGATGGAAACGAACTCCAAGCTCCATCAAAACTGTGTCCACGTTCTTGCCATCCATAGATTTCCTAATCTTTTCCACCTGCTTTCTAACGTAGCTGCAGACTTTAACACAAGCCTTAGGAAAAAAAGATTAAATGAAAATTAAAAAATACATAAATATCAAGAAACCTGTTCTCATAAAGTGCCTTCTACATCATAAGCTGAACATTAGTGAGTTCTTTAAAATTCCCACAGCGTGACATCATCTGTTACCTTCCAATTAATAATTCCAATAGGTTTTCATTTGTCACAGAGACATAAGTATGCATAAAAAGGAAGGATACAAGACAACATTTCACCAAATTATACTTTATGTCAGTTCAGTTTAGTCTACACTTTTAATTTAAGCAACAATTAACCAAGGGGGGACAATCAAGATGATTCAAACCCTGTCAGCAGTAGCTGCAAACCCAATTTAACAGCCATCTTCACTCTTCCCACACACTACCAACCTCTACAACCTACTGCTGCACTCTTCCCACTTTCACCCAGCTTCACATATTCAGATATATTCCTCCCATTAACAATCTACATCTCTCTAATTGCTCCCTAACAACAGCCTAATGCAACACAGCCCTGAAGTTTAAATTCCATCCTCCAGGCCGTAAAATACGATACATTCAGTGGTACAGAAAATTCTGCAGTAAAAAAAATGGTCTTGCCATACCCATGCTGCTTTCTTCTGTTCCTAAGGGGAAAAAGCACCCAGCAACTAGAGAGTATCTGATAACAAGTTTTCTGAAACTGATAGCTTCAAGCCAATTATCAGTTAAAAACTTGGAT